TGGGATTGTGGAATTGGGCGGTTCGCGGTTTGGTTTGTTCCACTCGTGCCCGGTTGTGGATTGTCTTTCCCCGCGCGCATTTGCTCAACGAAGTTGGGTAAATGTTTGAAACGATTATTAAGAGGTATTGGCGGTTCAGAGGCACGCACTTTACGTTTTATAATCTCCGAGACCGGAATAACTTTTTTGGGATGTACGTCTTTATCGGCTGGGGGGACTAGATCGGCTCCGGGGCCATTATCACTATTGGGGGCGTGTATGTTGCTCGCGTTGGCATTGTCCGTGACTTCCATGTTGGCCGGGGAGGTTTGCACGACTTGAACGGGTGTGATGTTGTTACCGCGAGGCACCTTGCCGTCACCGGTAATGTTGTTGGGTTGCTAGGGCAGCGTGGTGGAGTTGCCGATCTAGTTCAGCTTGTCGTTTGCTGTCATCTTGGTTTTGTCAAGTTGGCCTGCGGTGTCGTTAACTTCCCATGCGCTACGGAATGTAGCGGGAGGGCTGGATTGTTGCCTTTCCCATATGTGCCTACGCTGGGTGGTGGGGTCCTGTAGCGTTTCCGGCGATTCGGATCTGCGCTGTTGGTCTTTGGAGTCTTCACTAGAGCTGGTCGGCGTGGTTTTTGTGCGCGGAGACTCGGATCCGATCCAGTCTCTGTCGGCGCACGCTTCGTTGTTGGCGTCGTTCTCAGATGTTGGTGAGTTCTCCATAGACCCGTCGGGGATTGACCAGTCTGACTCTCGGCTTAGGTGGCGGGGAGATTGTGGGCTGCGCGGCGACCTGGATCTCACTGGTGATGGACTTGCGCGTGCTCCAGTTGATTCATCGACCTGCGCTTTCGTGGCTTCCGGCGGCGTAGGCTGATGTTACGTTTATGGGAGGTAGGACAGCACGTGGTGGTCTACCGGCTTGGTTTTTCGTAGCCTGCCAAGATGGCGAATTAGTTTTATTGGATTTGTTTGACTCACGTGTTTTCGATTTGTTGAATAGAGCTTGAGCCTTCTTGTAGCGCCTACTCATTTCCTCTATGACATGCGGGTCTTTACTATAAGTCGCTCGAATGCTTCGTAGACGACTTTGTGGGGTTTTGGAAGCCCCGGCTACTGCCTGCTAATTTCGGCACTAAAAAGCGTCCGAAACTTGCACTAACAAACACATACACTTAACGCAGTCTTTGTCTGTCCATTTAACTATTAATTTAAATAGAAAACACTATTACTATTTGAACTTCTCTAATAATCAGCCGGAGCGCTTGAAAAACCGTCCGTTCGCTTCGACTGCTCCAACGAGAATTCTGACGAGGACCAAATCAAATCAAATCAAAAAGTTTATTTATAAAATAGTATCACAGATGTTTACAAATCAAATCTAACAAGATAGCAAAAGTACAACACATAGTATATTTGAAAAAAATAACATGGTTAATGCTGCCTCCAGGTGCCATGGCCTCCCGGTTGCTGACGGTGTTTGTCACTCGCTGCTAGATTCGTCTGTTTAATATTTCTAGAGTTCGGCCGTTCCTCTCGCCTGGCGATTTAGGGGCTCTTCTTCGTGCGTGATCTGGTCAATAATTAATGATGAGGAATGTTTTTTTAAATTTATTGTGAAAAAATTGTGTATTTGCCCAGGAAAAGTCAAATTTAAAAAACCTGGTTAAATATAAAACATACCTGACAAGAAAATTAATATTATACGAAAAACTAAAGTTGTAAATAGCAAGTTCACTATGGTACTGGAAGTTGATGCCACTACGTATGGAATCTTTATTGAAAAGGAGAGAATGAATATTGGATGGAATCGGTGTAGGGTTTTTAATGATTATGGTATAAGAAGATGTTTTAGATGTTGTCGTTATGGTCACAATGTTAAAGATTGCAAAGAAAATACGGTATGTGCTAAATGTAGTGGCGATCATGATTTTAAAGAGTGTAATTTGAATATTGTTAAATGTGCAAATTGTGTAGAGTCTAATCAAAAGTATGGTCTCAATCTAGATGTTGTCCATGTTACTTGGGATGTTAGTAAATTTGAATCCTATAAGAGAATTGAGGAGTTTCAAAGGAGTAAGTACCTAAAATAGCAATTAGACTCAAATATTATTTTAAACTCCAGCATTATTTACTTTAACTGTCAGGGTTATCTAAACAACAAAGATAATATTGCTTTATTAATTAATAATTGGAGGCCTAAGATCGTGTTCTTGAGTGAGACTCACGTATCACCGGAAATTGAGTCATACGAACTAAATATTGATGGTTACAAGTTAGAACAATGTACTAGTAACAACAATAGAACTGGAGGAGTTATAGCTTTAATTAGGTGTGATGTTGGATATAAAATTAAAACTGTACAGTGCGTTGATAATTATGTGTGGTTATTGTCTATTGAATTATCTTCGTCTGGTCCAAAGTACTTGTGCTCTGTATTGTACCATCCACCTCAAAAATACGATGCCAAATTTATAGATTTCTTTGATGAATATCTGGATCAAGTCAGTGATTTTAATGGTATCAATGTTATCATGGGAGATTTTAACTTTGACCTACTGAAGCAGACTTATTATGGCAATAAAATAATCAATACTATATATAAAAATGGATTTACCCAAATTGTTAAAACACCAACTAGGGTAGTATCCAGAAGTCAGACATTAATTGATTATTTAGTAACCAATGACAAACATCTTCCACATAAAGTTCATCTTACACCTAAAATTAGTGACCATTCCATCCTGTCAATTACTCTTAATCAACATAAAGAACAAACTCTCGATATTATAAGCTATAAAAGATCATTTAAAAACTATAATTGTGACAGGTTACAGCAAGAGTTAATTAACATTGACTGGAACAACAGTATCTCTGATGTAAATTTTCTAGCGAATTCTTTTATCACAGATGTCAAAAACATTATAGACAGCATGTGTCCTAGGGTAAAAATTGTCCAGAAACAAAAATATTTGAACAAAAAATGGATTACATTGGAGATTAGGGAAATGATGCAGGAAAGGGATTTATTATATACAAGGGCCATTATGGATAAAAATGAGAACACCTGGAATGAATATAAGTCCAAAAGAAATACCATTGTAAATAAAATCCGAGTGGAGAAGGAAAAATATTATGTTGAAACCATAGACCACAATATGAATAACCCTAAAGAACTTTGGAAAAACCTAAAAACTCTATTACATGGAAAAAAACAAACCATACCAGACGAAATCAGTTTTGATTCGGAAATAGTCAAAGAACACTGAAAGAAATGCATAGGTTTTGGTAGCAAAAAACAATATGCTGAAAGCAATGTGTTGGAAAGAGTATTATATTTGTGGACATTACAAACAAACGGTAAAGTTTTGCGCTTACAACAAATGTCAAAATGCTTGTAGTAGTAAGCATATGAACTCTTTATGTTTTGCTTTACGGACAAAATCTTTACTTTCTGTGCAAACAGCATTTTGCTTATAGCAAACTGACATTTGCTGGCGTAACAAATGTGCGTTAGTTGAAGATTGTGTTTACAGAGCATATATGCTATACTTTTTATTGATAATACAAAATAAAGTAATGTACAGGGTGATCCCCTATAATGTCGCCCCCCTTTAACTTTTTTATTTTAAGTGTCCCACAAAATTTAAAAGTGGTTTTATGTAGAAACTAAAAAATACTTTTTTTCTACGTATAAAGAAAATTGGAAAATTGATCAGTATACAGGGAAAAACAAAAAGTTTATTTTTTTTCAATGGATCACCCTATATATGAATTTATTTTTTGATTCCTTGTAAAATTCTGAGCATAATTTATATAACAAACCATATACCTAAATTCAACCATTCGCACTCGAAATGTCATCATTAAATGTTTTTTTAAACTGTTAGAAGTCAAGAAGCCTCAGTATACCAAAATTTTTATTGAAAATAAATTACTATAGTGACATTATGTCAATATGTGTTGTAAATAAGTAAAAATGGCGTACTCAGACAGAGAACGACAAACTATTTCAACTTATTATTTTAAAAATAATTTAAATATTTTAGAAACGGTTGAATTTAGATATATGGTATGTTATATGAAATATGCTTAGAATTTTACAAGGAGTCGAAAAATAAATTCATATATAGGGTGATCCATTGAAAAAAAATTAACTTTTTGTTTTTCCCTGTATACTGATCAATTTTCCAATTTTCTTTATACGTAGAAAAAAAGTATTTTTTAGTTCCTACATAACCACACTTTTAATTTTTTTTGGGACACTTAAAATAAAAAAGTTAAAGGGGGCGACATTATAGGGGATCACCCTGTACATAGTTGGTTGCAAAGTATTTAATTTTTCTTAATTATATTTAATTAAGTACCAACCTAACAAGGTAATAGGTAAATACAAGAAGAAATAATTATAAATTAAGTATTTATTGGTTGTTACCCAGCAAACCAGGCTGTTCCATTTACATAACCATGATATAACTAATAAAGAAAATTGCCATATGAAATTGTTTACATAACATTTACGTATTAGTTATTTATTTTGTTACATAATTATGATAAAACATAGTAATATAACATTTATATAAATATGTTCCCCTCTTGTTATATTTACATCCCCCTTATGTATCAGCCATATAACAATGTTATATATCTACAATGGAACAATGATACATCATTGATATATGGCAATGTTTTATAGTATCCATATAACCTTATTATATGGTATTTACATAGTTTTTCTTTATTTTGTTACATAATTATAATAAAACATTTTAATATAATAGTTATATCAAAATGATCCCTTCTTGTTATATTTACATCCCTATTATGTCATGGCTATATAACAATGTTTTATACCTACATTGTAACAATGATATATAAATGTTATATATTAATGTTTTATAGTATTTATATAGCCTTTTTATCTTACTAACGAACTCGTTTAAACGGTTGTGTCGAGTGCTCTCTATTGTGTTTTAAGTTAAGTTAAGTTTGATTCCATTTTTTTATAATAAAATGGAAGACAAAAATAGAAAAAAATATATTTCCCTATCCCGGAGGCAAAAGCGGAGGAGAATTAATGCAGATCTCAAAATAATGGGCGTGGACTCCACGCCGTGGAGGTAAGAAATTGTATAGAAAATACCCAAGACAATGTGGAATATATTGAGGCTAAAACCGAAGTATTATCTTTCCCTAACCAGCCAATAAATAAACATAAAATAAAAATATTTTTACAGAAAATTTGGGAGAATATTCAGGAGGTCATAGGAAAAATTCCCATACTTTTGTGGAAGATTTGCAAGATTTGTGTAATAGATACTTACCTAGTCAACTTTTTATTAATGATCTGTTAAAAGTTTTGAGGAAACATTATTGCAAAAAGAAGTAAAGGCTGAATTTGTAAGTATATAAAGGGCGATTTTAAACCTGTTTAATAATGTTAATTTGTTTTTAAAACAGGGTGCTAAAAAACAAGCGACAAATTATAATTTAATGATATTTGGTAGCCAAAATAAGAGTTTAATTTCTATATTTTTTTAACTTTATACTGTTTTTTCAACTGGTACTTAAAAGATACAATAATTTTGCTAAATAACCAAGATGGATACACTTTTTTATTATAATTGTTGTGACAATTAATTTTATGCAAATTCCATATTTTTCATTATTTTTATATCTCTTAAGGATGCAGGGTGCATTTGACTTGAATAAATAAAATCAAACAAATTATTATTTGTACCAAATATCACTTACATAACTACATAAAGAATAGTTGTTCTTTGTTTTGAAAACAAATAAATAAACAAAAATAATATTAAATTGTATTTTTTTTCAGTTTCAGTATATAACAAAAATTGGAGGCGTCTCAGAGAAAGATGCCACAGTAAGAAAATCTTCTCAAATAATTTGGCAAAAGATTGGTCTTGGCTGGGGCTAAGAAACAACAATAAAATTCAAAATTTAAAATCTGTTGAAATATTGAAGGGTAAAAATGTAAATTTTATGGGATTTTTTATTAAATAAATTTTTTTAAGCTGCTGTGTGCACTTCGACAGACAAAAATTTTGAAGGCATAGTTTCCGAATGGTTCCGGCAGGCCAAACAAAGATTTGGTATACCCTATAGGGAAGCAAAAAACCCATTAAAAGAAGGTATATTAATATTAAATTCATGGGATTGCTTTATCTTTTTTACCATATATTTTTTAGCTTTGAAGTATTAATGTATTTGGGATTTTTTTTTGTTTGGAAAAACTTTTCGTTTGTTTTAAGAAGTTAGAAAGAAGAAATAATTTGTTTTTTTTTAATTAAAATAATTTTTAATAAACATTTAAACCAATTTGTTTTTTTTTAATCTCTTTCAGAATCATTTATTTTTGTAATGTTTACTTATTATTTATGTAATATTTATTTATAATTTATTTAATATATTATCTATTTGGCATTAACAATTTCTTAGTTCTAATTTGGTATTATGGCCATTTTAAAATTTTGTTGATTTTTTTTCAAAAAATTTGCCATAATACCAAGTTAGGGCTAAGCAATTTTTAATACCAGTAAGATAATATATTACATGAAATTATATTTATAAATATTTCATAAATAATAGGTAAATATTGCAAATAGAATATAATTGTTTTATCACGTTTACATAACTATGATATGGCGCTGTAACATTACAGTTACATATCTATGATAAAACACTGTTACATCACAGATACATACCCAGGAAGGGGTCTTGAGGCGGACATAGAAGCATCGCCATTACATATAGGTGACATAGCTGTTGCATAGTAAGGAACAATTTTTATGTAAATGTTATATCACTGTTACATAACTGATATGGCGCTGTAACATTACAGTTACATAACTATGATAAAACACTGTTACATCACAGTTACATACCCAGGAAGGCGTCTTGAGGCGGACATAGGAGCATTGCCATTACATATAGGTGACATAGCTGTTGCATAGTAAGGAACAATTTTTATGTAAATGTTATATCACTGTGACATGATTTGGTTTGCTGGGTATAGTAACAATACGTGATGCATGTATAATATGCATTGTATATGCATGTCTATGTTATACTTAAAAATAATTTATTTATAACATCTTAAAAAATTATTAAAAAAATTAAATGTCTTTTAAATATTTAATAAAAAAATAAGTATGTTAATGGTTAAAATCAATGTTAAACCCAAGTATTTTTTATTTTTATTTTAAAAGCTTTTCATGCACATCTGGTTTTCATTTAAGAGTATTGATATTTTCAAGAAGGGCAATAAAACCCCACTTTTACCTAAGATAAGAATTTTTAGGGGCTGCATGGGATCTCAAAACATTTGTAAAAACCCAGCATTAAGTTTGTTCAGTTATTCATGTACACATGTAACATTGACATTAAATTTATATTTGTTTATTAAACTATGTTTTAATGATATTTCAACACATACGCGAAAAAAATAACTAACAAAGTAATTATCAAAAATTTTTACCAGCAAAAATATAAATTTAAAAAAGGCAAAACATATACCTGAAGATTACCAGACTTTCCATATGGCCACCACTAGGCCATTTTCAGAGTTAAAATCATTTGAGATTTGTTCGTGTGAAGATTGCGTAGCAATTTGTGTACCTTTACATTAGTTACGATCAATGGGGATTCTCTAAATATGTGGATATTTTTAAACGTAAGTATTGTATTGTTTTTATATTTAATGTGCAAGTTTGTAGTAGACATAAAAGCTAAAATCCGGATACATCTTAAGTAAGTGGACTCGGTGATGAAAATATAATACAAGATAGGCAATTTTACTTTGTATTGAAACATAATTAAAGTTTTTTCTTTTTCATGGAAGTAAGAACCACAAGGATTTTATTTATTTTGTCACATTTATTGTCTACAAACACTTTAAAACGCAAGCGATCACAGTGTTGGCGGCCGTCAAAGACTGAAGTGGAAGAAGGATTTATTATTCACATAAAGGTATGGGTTGGTAGCTTTTATTTTATCTTATTACCTAGGTATAAGTGTTAATGAAATGTAATTTTTTTGCGAAAGTCCATTTCACTTTATAGGAAATTGTTTCTGCAAAAACGAATCTTCCTAATTGTAGTCAAACATCACATGTTTAATCCGTAGTTACCGAATTTAATCCAGTAAATTTTATGTGTATTAAAGTATTTGTTTGTCTTTCGTTCTAGATAACTGGTGAATTGAACGACGTGTTGGAAAGCAAAGTGCAAAAACTAAAGTCATTTGGACTGTCCCTCCAACCAACACCTGTAATTGTTGGACCTTCTCTGGACGAAATCGAATCGTATTTGAAGTTTGCTTGAATTTAAATGTACCTAGTTATTATAATATATTTTTATACATTTGTAAAAAGTGTTAAATTATTTTCACCCTCCCCTACCCATTTGTTTTCTACTGCAGCAAATATTGTATAATTATCTGCTGCTAACACAAATTTCTTTGCTATGCCTACATATGAGCATTTGTTATAAAAAATACTTTTTGGCTACCAATACAAATACTTTTTACCATTTCGGGCAAACTTAATTGCACTATGTACAAATAATGATTTGTTGTAATAAGTAAATGCTTGCTGCCAAGACAAATAATGATATCAACACAGAACAAATACTGCTGCTACTTCGAACAAATTTCTTTGCTCTGCCTACAAATAAGCATTGGCTATTACAAGTTATTTTTTGTTACCAATACAAATATGTCTTACTATTTCAGGGCAACTTAATTGTTCCACCTACAAATAAATATTTGTGCAGACTGCATAAACCTTCTAGCAAAATATAAATATTGTAGTAGCAAAAGTTTTCGCTGTCGCCATTTTAACATATAATATTTGTAATCATTACTATTTTTGAGTAATAAGGACCAATGCATTTCTTTCAGTGAAGAGTCAAACATAGCCCATAAATTTAATAAATATTTCGTGGAAAGTATTGATGCTATTATTCAAGGTATACCACAAACAGCAAACGTTATACCCCATATAAACAGGATCCCTGAACATAGTAAATTATTTTGTAATTTTGAAAAAATATCTATGTTAAAAATGAAGCAAATAATTAAAAATCTGAAAAATGTAGGAGGCGATGAAAGTGGCATATCTAAGCAAGTCCTTTGTGATGTTTTTTATGCTGTTATCACTTAGTTCTGGTGTTTTTCCTGAGTCATGGAAATTGTCAACAGTGATTCCAGTTCCCAAGGTGCAAAATACAAAAAGTCACAATGAGTTTAGACCAATTAACACAGTTCCCATTTATGAAAAAGTAATTGAATTATGTGTAAAAGAACAGCTACTTAACTATTGCGTCAATAATAAAATAATAGTTTCTAACCAATCAGGTTTCCGTGAAAACCACTCCTGTGAGTCTGTTGTTGTTAGTATCAGTGATGATTTTCTCAAAGCCATTGACTGTGATAATTTTGTTTTAGCTGTATTTTTAGATTTTAAAAGAGCCAGTAGATAGGGAAATATTGATTGCTAAATTAGAGCAAATGGGTATTAAGCATAACGTTTTAAATTGGTTTAAGTCTTACTTGTGTAATAGAGTCCAACGTGTAGTGTATAAAAGTTCTATGTCTGAATCTATATGTGTAAAATACAGTGAACCTCAAGGGACGGTTTTGGGCCCATTACTGTTTTTATTGTATATTAATGATATGGTAAAGGTGACACAAAAATGTAAAATTATTTTATTTGCAGATGATACAATGCTCTATATAATAGGTAAAAACTTGAATCAAATGCAAGCAAATGTCAACAATGATCTGAACAATTTATTTAACTGGCTCTGTGAAAATAAATAAAGTTTAAATGCTGGTAAATCTAAATTTTGTCTATTCGCCAAAAAATCAAGAATAAGTTCTGTAAACATTAATGCTGTGCAGATTACTGTAAATAGGGAAAATATTACTTATGATAAAGAAATTAAATATTTGGGCACAATTTTAGATTCCAACTTAAAATTTAATTCCCATGCAGACTATATTATGAGAAAATTCTCAAAAAAGGTTGGTTTTATAACCAGAATAGGTAAGAATCTGTCAATGCATATAAAAATGTTGCTTTACAACGCCATTGCACTTCCCCATTTGCAGTTCTGTTCAACATTGTTGTTTCATTTGCCACAATATAAAATAAGCCAGTTAGAAAAAATCCAAAATAGAGCTATGAGACTGATTTTAAAATGTAACCGTTATACACCTATTATATCCATGTTGAGTGTCCTAAATATTTTGTCTGTCAAACAAAGAATTATGTTTAATGTAAATTTATTCATATTTAAACTAAAACAAAATCTGTTACCTGATTATATCTGTGATAAGTTAAAAGTTTTTAGAGATGTACATAATTATAATACTAGAAATTGTACAGATTTTATTTTACTAGATAGGTGTAATACAACACAAATGTTAAACTCCGTTTTATACAAAGTTTTACTTGAGTTTAATAAACTACCTGTGAATATTAAAAACTGTGATAATATAAATCAGTTCAAAAAACTTTTGAGAAGATTTGTTTTAAACTAAATGTTGCGTTTTTGTCATCTTTATATTATATTTATTATGCTATATCTAATTCTGTATACACATGTTTTGTTAAAAATCTAATTGTAAACTTTTTAAACTTTTCTATTTTTTTTCGTTGTATTTTTTATGTAAATATGTAAATTATTATTTTTTATGTAGCACTGATGCTAAATAAAATTCATTATTATTATTTATTTTTCCTGTACTGCGTCAGGTAGCGGCAGCTGGGACTTACCAATTGCCCGTAGTCAGTCAACACACCTTTACCGAAATAAAGGTGCGTCGACCGCAATGTAAATGTGTGGCGACCATGTCAACCACCATACCTTTATGCTAGGCATAAAGGTGTGTCGACCGTTTGTAAAGGTGCAGCGACCGAGGTCGGTCGCCACAGCTTTATGTTGGGTATAAAGGTGTACCGACGGTTGTAAAGGTGTAGCGACCGGGGTCAGTCACCGCACCTTTAAGAATATTGTACGTTGACTGGACATAAAGGTGTGGCAACTTGATATATTTACATGTTTACATGAAAATAAGCGACCAGAGTGGGTCAAGCTTGTATACAGGGTGTGATAAGTTGCTATAAAAGTTAGTTTATTTTTTGCTGATTGTTGTCCGCATGCCTCAAATTTGTAATCTCCCTAGTCAATGGATGCTTATTGAGTTTAAAGGTATAAAAGTTGTTTGACAACCGCCTTGTGTGATCATTGATCAGCTCCAAGCCAGTCATCTCGTGCAAATTGTCCTTTGACTCGTACCTACCGCTGTTGGTAACGTAGCGGAGGATTTTGTTCTGCAACCGTTGCAGCGTGAGCAGCTGAGTTGCAGAAGCGGAGCACCATACAGGACAACCATACACAATGACAGGCCTGATGACTGACGAGGACCAAATCAAAATCAAAAAGTATTTATTTAGGTATAAAAGTATCACAGTTTTACAGGAACAATTTCGCATAGTAGCTTAAAGTACATAACATTTTATAATGATATATATGATATGGACCAAATTCAAATTCAAAAATAGTATATTTACAAGTTATTTACATAATGTTTGGCATATGAAATCTTATGATATTGCCTAATTGTTTTACCAGATTAAGATAAGTAATACATTGTACACCCTTCTTTTTTCATGCCGAGGAAGTTGCTAGTTGCAGGCGTCCTCGCACCGGTGTTGTGGTGAATACCATAAGTACACTGCCGTCGTCGTTGTTCGGGGATCGCTCACCTTACTCGCTCATGCGATCTTAGTGGCATTTTGATTTGTTGAACGGTAAATTGTAGGCTGTTGCAGTCAGAGACTTTTGATTGTTTTTATTTTGTGGCTACTAATGTTACAGGAAAAATTAATTGAAAAAACCTATTTGAAAAATGGATTTAGTTTGTGTTATTTGGTAAACCGCTATTAACATTTAATGGCTCGTTGTTTTGATTGTTTAATTTCGTGTGAAATTGTATATATTTGTATGTGTTTTGTGTTTTCGATCGAGTCGGCTTGGAATCAGAGCGGCCATTCAACGCCGCGCCGGGCCAGCCAGTCGCCCAGCGCTACGTTCAGTGTCTCCGACCCGATGCCCCGCCCACTCGGTCGTGTTTGTTCATTTATTGTTTGCTATGGTTATTTATGTAATTATTATCTATTATGTAGATTTTCATGGTAAATTTCTAATTTTTTATAGATTAATCCGTGTCTGGTGTTGATGTTATCGCTTTGTCTAATGTCTGTGAGGTGGCTGAGTAATGGATTTACTTTTAACTTGAATTTGTAAAATTTATTGCTTGATTGCAGGATGTATTCTTTTAAATATGGGATACCTGTCATTGTGTGCATTTCATCAACGCTGTCATATCTGCCCGAATTTGTAACGTGACGCATTAGGCTGTTCTGTATTCTTTGCAGTGCTATGAAGTTTGTGTCTGACATAGAGCACCACGCTGGGTGCCCGTATGTGATTATAGGTCCAAATACCTGACGAATGGTTTTTCTTGTAGTATTATATTGTTTAGTTTTATAGGTGTGATTATTCTATTGTTTGTATATTTTTTTGAAAAATGAATTAATTCTGATTTTGTGTCGTTTATTTTAATTAACCATTCGTCGAAGTATTTGGTTAGCATTCTTAAGTGTATTTTTATTTGAGTCGCTGCAACTTGTGAGTAATAGTATCTGGCGTACAGGGTTGTATCGTCTGCATACAATCCTAGTTTTGTATGAGAGAATATTGGGATGTCTGACGTATATAAACTGTACAATTTTTGGGCGAGTACAGTCCCTTGTGGTACGCCAGCTCTTATTTGTTGCATTGGAGATGTTTTGTTATTTATTTTTGTTTTAAATATCCGGTTACTTAGATATGATGCCATGAGTCGATGAAGTGGGCTTGGGATTTCGAGTTGTCTTAGTTTGCATAGCTGTCCGCACAACCAAACTTTATCGAAGGCCTTCTCGATGTCCAGCAGGACCATGACCGTGTTCTGGCCACGGTTATTCGCCTGCTGAACATCGTGAATGACCCTCACTGCTTGGTGCACGGTACTGTGTTTGGGTCGGAAACCGAATTGTTCATTTGGTGTTATCGTGTGTCGTTTGTCCCATTTGTTTATTTTTTGTTTAGTTTTCCACTGTTGTGGGAAATATTGTAGTGAAAAAATTGCATTAATTATATAGTTAAGTTGAACTATTGCCTTTTTTGGTAGGATTTTTAAGAGTATGTTTTCAATTCCATCCTCTCCGGGCGCTTTGTTGTTTTTCAAATATATATATGATATGGACCAGACAGACAGACAATACATTTATTTACAATATTTACAAGTTTTTACATTACTAACAGAACAATTCACATTACAGTGCTAGGTAAAAAGCCGACATAGATGACCACAAGCGGTCAGCCGTGCTTTAGCACACACTAATTAATACGTGATATATAATTAGCGCCACGGGTGTTTTATGTGTACATGTGAGTATCCTGCTATTTTTATTATACTTCAACAGACTGTCCACTCGCAGGGCGAATATAGGACGTATTTTGGCATTATATAAATGAAATGCTGCGCGATCTTAATGATGTAAAATTATTATTTTGCTTAATTTTATTAGGGAAAAAATACGAAAAAACCCTTTAAAACCTGACGTATAAATATTTTGATTGCATATTTTTAAATTTGGGCATATAAATGTTTTGTTTAGTAATAAAAGTCGATAATATATTTGTTCAATTTTTATTATTTATACGCTGAGGCCTGAGTGCTCCCAGGCCACAGCCGCACAGGTATTAGCGCATTCAAGGTCCCGCGGCCCCCCGCCGGTAGGCGGAGCCTAATCTCCAGCCCGGGCCCGCGAGACCAGGCCTACGCTACTCAGAATATATGGGCAATTTCTTGATATGGACCAAATCAAATATGTTTATTTATAAAAATAGTATCACAGATATATACAAAACAAAAACTAACAGGATAGCAAAAAGTGAACACATTGTATATTTGAGAAAAATATCATGGTTATTGCTGCCTCCAGGTGCTATGGCCTCCCAGTTGCTGACGGTGTTGGTCACGCGCTGCTAGATTCGTCTTGTTCAATATTTCTTGAGTTCGGCCGTTCCTCTCGCCTTGCGATTTAGGGGCTCTTCTTCGTACGTGATCTGATCGATAATTAATGTGGGAGATGTGTTTCTTAATTTATTGCGATAAAAATGATGTATTTGCCCAGGAAAAGTAATTTCAAAAAACCTGGTTAGATATTTCATTTTCCTGTACTGCGTCAGGTAGCGGCAGCTGGGACTTACCAATTGCCCGTAGTCAGTCAGTACACCTTTACCGAAATAAAGGTGCACCGACCGCGATATAAATGTGTGGCGACTGTTTGTAAAGGTGCAGCGACCGAGGTCGCCACACCTCCACGTCGGAAAGTAAAGGTGCAGCGACCGAGGTCGGTCGCGAC